GTTACAAACATGAAGGGGAAAAACAATGAAAAATACGCATGACTGCCTTGAATGTAATGTGTGAATATCTGAGTTCTCTAACGCATTAGCATAATAACATTGAATGAGATGTAACTGCATCTCCAGGCTGCACCAGAGGGCCGAGAATTGTCCCTGTGTGCGTTAAAGCATATTAGGTTATATAAAAGCTTATAAGGTCCCATATCCCAGGAGCGAATTGCAGGTTTGAGCTAACCAGAGCATTCGCAGTGTCATCAAAGTATCCACAGTGGAAAGAGAAATGAGTAGTAATGCTAATTAAGACTCGCAATTTCATCGTGAGGACGGAATTAAGAAATCACGGTCAGCGTACACCTGAGGGGAGATACAGTTGGTTTGGATTATCTGAGAATTTCAAAATTTTTAATAAATGAGTATCTTTTTCCTTGTGAGAGGAATTGACTTCGTCTTAACTATAATTAAGTTTTACACAAGACTGCACTAAGGTACATCAAAAATTATAATCCGAAAGATTTTTATCACATCCCGAACTAGTGAGTCAAAATTCGTAAGGGACATCAAATATTTAAAATTCGAGGAATAATTTAAAATTTATTGTCCAGTGAAATTGGAATAATTGATTATATCGTACGAGTCGCTGATGAAACAAAACTGACGAGACATGAGATTGTACAGCAAACCACAACAAAAACGCCCTAGAATCATTTGCTTATACGAACAGGAAAGTCGGAGGTAAGGAAAATGTGATTAGGGCAAGGAAAACAATTTTGAATCAAGAGAATTGTAGAATGTGTCTGAGAAACACAGAGGCGGTAATGGTCGCTTACGGCTTTACCAGATCAGGAGAAGGTACGCTACATTTATTTTCTATCTCTGAACCAACGAGGAGTGACTTGGTTTACAGAAATGACGACGTTCAGCACGCCAGAAGATTCCAAAAAATGGCACCGAAACCTAATTTTGAAACTGCCAGCCTCAGGCAGTCGAAGGGCTTAATATTATCTTCACTAAAAACAGGGATGAACTTCGTGTTTATCAGTTAACTAGATTATTCGTCTCTATACTTAATAGTGATTACAATAAATATTAGTCTCTTTGTTTCTGCAAAACTGATCTAGTTTCATGTTCCTAACCTAACCTAACCTAACCTAACCTAACCTATTCTAACCTAACCTAACCTAACCTAACCTAACCTAACCTAACCTAACCTAACCTAATCTCAAAACTTGTTTCATTTAATCTGTCTGATTTTTGTCCTTCAATCTCCTCCTGTGTCCCGCACTTAGCTGTTTTACGAGATTATATACGCACGTATTGCATTCTTTATTCGTGCTACATGTCTACGAAAACAAACCACCTTAATATAATTAGATTAAGTCTTGAGCACAATCCGTGTGAAATATATTCCTCATTATTCTGTTTGAATAGAAGTCCCAGAGTTTTTATTATTATTATTTAGTGTTCTGTCTGACGACAGGTCCATATGAACAGGATCCTTCCATCCTCTTCTCGGACTGGGACCTGTTCATATACGTTCTTGGCAGATGATCCAGAAGTGGTTTGCCATTGCCTTCTTCTGTGTGTGAATGGGATGCCACGGAGAAACTGGGGAAGCCCCCGGAGGAAAACTCCGTGTTGCCTAGACCACGGCCTTGCCCAACACAAGTTATAAATTCGGGCACCACCGGGAATCGAACCCGAGACCCCAGGATTACAAGGCCAGCGTTCTAACCGCTAGACCACGATAAAGACGATAAATTTAGTTTTCCAACATGAAATTAATTTCTTTTTTAGCATTTAACTTAATTAAATTCGGAATCCGTCAATGCGATGTCTCAGCCTTTATTTTTAAAGGCTTTGGACACTCCTGTGTCTGTTCTGCTGTTTTTATTATCTACGTCAACACCTGATAATTAAATCACTTTTATTGGTGCGTTGTTTCTCTCAACACATCGATACTCCGAAACGTCTAAGACCTAATAAATCGTTATGTATAACGGAACGATATAGCCTTTTAATATTGCACTCCATCACATCAAAGAAAGTAAGGTTTTATTAAACATTAGCAGGCTACTTCTATTGACGAGGCGTGTTAAATGACACAACAGAAGTTTTATGATCATCATACACTTAATTTCTGTGGATTTATCGAACATAAATCCGGATTCATAGGTTTTTTGGGGCATCGTTAGTACAGATTTAAAAACCTTAGTCTAAAACCAGTAGTTAATGAGGAATAATCGTACAAGTCGCCGAATTATGACTTTGTTGTAGCCTCGTGTTTCTGATTTTATTCGGGTACAGTATTGACACCCGGAGGATGGAGTGTGATGTTTACAGTGACAAGTTAATTATTACAAATCTTTCCGCATTAGTCCTACTCGGAACACGTGTTATAGAAAGCTAAAAATATCAAAAACCCTGCTCTCCACTACGTCAGATTATCCAAAACAATTATTATATATTTATTTATATTTAACAGGTTTAATACCGTGCAGACAATAGACTAAATTCTCTAACACTAATGTCTGATAACAGTGCGTATATTCGGTGGTAGTAGTACGTACCATAAGTATTTTGTTCTGTGATATTACTAACAAAATTTTTATTGAGAATGTAAAGGCATTGCACGTTGTTTAATTAAGCACAGGGGGCAACTTTGCCTTTTATGGAGTCGGAAATTGTGTTAGGGAGGGTGTCATCTGGCTTCGCTGTTATTATATTGTTACCCCTCTGTCGTACGTGTAAACTTCTGCATTAATCTTAATGAAGTCCTGCTGAGCTTGTTTAATTTAATTACAGTTACAGTGTTAACGAAGTTTAGCTCTTAACAATCTCGTCGTTGAAGCCTCTGACCAGTGCCTGGCACTCAGGACAAAGTGGGCCTTTCTGCCTTGTCGTCGTAAATCAGTATTGTGCTGTTCCTAGGACTTCGTGAGTTATTGGCATTATACATTTTGATATTTTGTGGACTCGAGATGCGGAAGATTCAGTTTTCTTCGTAATAGGCCTGTACAGAAATATCGATTTAAGAAAAACACCCAACATAAACATAATAAGACTCCAAAAATACATCGAAAAATATTACATTTCATTTTATTGAAGTTTAAATAGTAATAATAACAACCTAAGAGTTCTGGCAGAGACTTCAAGTCCTACAAAACATTCCTAAGTGTATTACTGAGTAAAAATTGAAATTTTACTGATGGATTTACATTCTACACTAATCGCTCAAGAAATAGCATATTTATTCGATAAAATTTAAAATTGTTGTTATTGTTGTTGAGTTGGCAGTACTGCTTATGACGTTGGTATTACTGTAATAGATGTCGAAGTATATTTACCTTCTGGGAATAACTTATTATTCAATTAGGTATCTTAGCTATCACTTCCGAGATATGCACCCTTGTGATGTTTGTAATATATTTCTTATAAGAAAGATTTTGTATTGAATTTGAAGAAAAGCCTAGTCATTTTATTTTTGTGCGAAACTGTACGTTCCCAGTTGAAATATTTCATTATAGATCGCTGTCAAACCGAATGTCACATGGCAGTTCTCATGACAGTGTCGTTCTTTGACATTTAAAACAACACCATTTTAAAAGTTGTGTACGGTTGTCTAAGAAAACGTCAGCGTACATGATCTCTGGGATGTGTACTGATTGTGTTACGTCCACCTCAGAACTTCGTATTTCCTCTAGGCCACTTCCGATATTGGTGTGTCCTGTAATGCCATAAATTTTATAAGGGGTTTTATTAAATTCCGCCAGTTTCTTTAAGATTTGAAAGAGAGGACATATTTCATACCATAAACCTCATTTCAGAGCTCAGGGGTTATGATCAACACATGTGATGCGTTTTGTTTCTTATATGTAGTCCTGCCATCTGTTAGGAGACCTGCAAATTAAATGAGGTTGTTGTGTACTTTGGTCATGACCCTATAAACGTCATTTCGGTCGAGAATCAAACAGTAAAACGTGGAAACGGTCTCGTGGAAATGGAAAATAACTTTTCCGCTATTCTCTTCGGCGAACACACGAAATTGTAATTGAATTTCAGTAAATTGTAAAATGTCACGTATTAATAACACACTTTTATACCCAGTGCCGGGCGGAAAACGTTCTTTTATGTTAGACGATGCGAAAACATTTCGTTCAGCACTGCAACGTTCTGGAATAATTTCTCGTCTTTTGTCATTACAAGAATTCGTTAAGGGTGGAGTAACCTTCGGTCGAACTGGGTATAATGTAGTTACGGACTCGTACGAATCAGGCGAACAGCGTAATGAAACACGAGCTGTTGGTCACTCCCGCATGCCAGTTGGGGGTTTGAGCGCTGGAATGCGAGTCAGCGAGGGGAGTTTCGCGTCAGTTGGACGTCGGAGCTCGAAGCGAGTGGACGTGTGTTTACGTGCTTTGTGGTAGCGTCACTCGCAGTCGGTCTTCGCTGTACGCCCGTTTATCGAAACTTTATGATTAAAAGTAGTTTACTCTTGGGAAGAAAATATGGTATGATAACATCGCAGTTATTAGAAAGTATTTTAAAACTTTGGGCATATTAAATCTTAAAGAAAGAGTTGATGGGATAACATCGCAGTTATTAGAAAGTATTGAGCTATTTTTTTAAAAGTTTGGGCATATTAAATCTTAAACAAAGAGTTGATGATTTTTCTTCAGAATATCTAAAATTGTTTCGATAATTATGAATAATAAATAATTTATATTCAGTTCAAGAGATATTTTTTTTAAAATTAATTAGTATATCTACAACTGGTATTCATGTTCGGCGTGGATTAAGAATCCGCCAAAATTTAATATGGGCATTAATAATATCAACGTTATGGGACAGACATTTTTACGTAGTGGGAGAAATAAGAATGAGTCGATCACATTGTATCGGTCGCAAAGCAGAGGATTTAGAAATAACAACCACGAATGAAGTACTTTTCGAATCACCAAACTTTCGGCAAAGTTTCTAGTTAGAACAGTTACTGAATTTAGTTCAATGGTTGTGTTACAAATCGTGAAGTACAGCACATAGCCACTTGTATCGTCCTGCACTGCAAAACCGAAATTGTTCTACAAGAAATAACCAAGATAATGGTGAGTACGAAAAGTAAATTATATTTATTCCAGTATTTTTATTAAAAAAAAATATTTCGTGTTGTCATTTTTTTAAGTTTTGAACCGTGCGACGTTTCGGAATGTTGTTGAACGTCTTGCTAAAAAACGTATGTAGCAGTGAATCGTAAATTATATTTATTCCAGTATTTTTATAAAAAAAATGTATTTCGTGTTGTCTTTTTTTTTAAATTTTGAACCGTTCGACGTTTCGGGATGTTGTTGAACGTCTTACTAAAAAATGTATGTAGCAGTGAATCATGAGACATCCGTTTGAGAAGTCTCTGTTCGATTCCCGCACACATGATTTTACGTCTTTAAATCGAAGGTTATCTAAATTCAGTGTGCATCCAAAAACAAAAATGTCTCTTTTCCTTTGCAACGTTCAACTATCGTATGAAATTGCTCTTGTTTACAATGAGAATAATACGAAATTTATATATGAAAATGCAGAATATTTTATAGATAAAGCAGGTATTAAATGTTCTTACCACTGTGCTTGAAAGGTTTAAATTAATTTATTTTATTTCTGTAATTCATTCGCTATTCTCCACTGCATTCGAGACACAGATTTCGTGAAAATTTCTGTAGAAGAACACGCATTCTACAGGCGTCGATTGTGTCCGAGTTTAGAACGGTAATTATAATTCCGTCAAAGTGGGCAAACGTTCCTATGTAGTCATCCGCACTCACTGAAGGGACGGTGGCTAAAGATTGACCCACTTTCAAGGGCCAACCATTCCCTCAGACTTAAAGACGTGTCTTATTACGATGTACAACTCTTATTTCAAAACAAATTTCGGTGCAAAGTACGCGGTAAGGCAAATCATGTGTCTTTGTGTCGTACGTACATGCTGATTACTTGTTTTATCTACAAGGAAAAAGGAAAATGCGATAGGCACGTTCAACGGAAACAATAATAAATTATCTATTATGTATTTTAAATATTGTGGGTTAAAATCTCAGCTTCGAAGCAGGCTATCTGGATTGACTTTCTTGGGATTCCTCAGTCCCTCCAGTCATCTTCCAGAACAGTGCATTAGATTGGCCGCTCCAACTTCTCTCTGCATCTTTCCCAGTTGATTATTTATCAGTATTTTCGACGTCGTGTTCAAAACATCGCAAAGCAAAATTCTGATAGATAAAATATTTCGGGCTACCACAGTTTACCCTGTACGTAGCGTTTAAACCTTTAAAACCGAAGCTCGTCTAAATATTATTTAATAAATCAGCCCGTACCGCGAAGAAAACACTTCACTTCACCATTACAAAGATCAACTGGTTAACCCTTTGAAGCCGAAGCTCGTCTAAATATTATTTAATAAATCAGCCCGTACCGCGAAGAAAACACTTCACTTCACCATTACAAAGATCAATTTGTTAACGCTGTTCAAAGAAATAATCGCTGTTTACACTGAAAACAATACGAAACCCATACATACAAAACGTAAGTTATTAACTGTATAAATCAGGTGGTACATATAGTTACCACTGGGTCTTAAAGTGTTAAAGAAGACAGTAGACTTCGTATTTATCACAGCCTGTAGCTCCTTTCACAATCAGCAAAGTCGGGCCTGTTTTATGTCATGTTTCGCGTTATCCTAACTTAACGATGTACATTATTTATTTTATAGCGATTAATTTAATGTTATCTGATTGTTAATTCTGTACGTGGGGAAATAATTAACATTCGGTTACAAACTAATCGGATTGTCGCTGGATTAATATAAATAAACACTAATAAGTATTTCGTGAAACGAATTTTATTCGACGTATCCAGTGACAGGGCAGATAGCAAATATTTAAAAAACAAAACCATGTTAAGATGAAGATATAATAATGATAATATTAAATATTTTAATGAAGTCTGGAGGTTTATGGCGTTGGTGCTTTAGAGTCTGTAAAAAATGTTTTTTCTGAATTCTTTCGTATTCTAAATTAATAAATCAATCATTAAAATAACCCTTCATGAAAAAATGTTTCTAGGTTATCATCGAAAAAAAAACTCTTTAATAATAGCTACATTAAAGAAATTACTGGAATTATTTTTATATTTAATGAGCCGGATTGCTCAGTAAAGTGACTTACTGACTATGGACTGGACGGCCGGGGTTCGATCCCCGAGAGGCACAGGATTTTCCCTTTAACCTCTGCGTCCAGACCGACTCTGGGGCCCACCCAACCTCCTGTCAAATGGGTACCGGGATCCTTTCCCCTCGGCCGGGATGTGACGCCTTCTAGAGCCGAGGTTAAGAACGATTTGGAGCCATCCGCCTCCCCCGCAAGCGAATATATCACAAATAATATAATTGTTTTCCTAATGATGTTGATGACTTCCGGAACATCGGCTTCATGGGGGCTTCGTTCGGTCTTGTAGTTGCGGTTTGCGTGTGGTTAGCCAGTGGTGGTTCTGGCGTCCTTAGTAACAAAGGTTATTAATTATTCATAATTCGACTGGAATGAGTTTTGAAATTGAATCACTGGTGTGTGAAGTATCGATAGATGCAAATAAGAATAGATCGATATAAACGAAAACTGGCAAAAAAACATCGGGAGATTAATCGGTCTTCATATTTTTAATAGAACTTAAAAAAAGTCGATCTAAACATGGATCCCCGGACGCTTTGTCTTTAAGTTACAGCTAATTTTGAATACGAAAGGAGTCTTTTACAGGTCTGTGATTCCAACGCACCTGAAGATTCGTGGCTTTGAAAGTTTGAGAGTTTTACAGTTCGTGTAGTTATTGCCCGTTTTCTTCGAAACTTGGCGTCGTTGCTAGGGGTAGTGTTTTGTTTGATTCCGTACCAGCTTGTTGGTCAGTTACCCAATATTTTACCTGTAACTTAATAAGTATATATTAAATCTTGTCCGTTCATTTAATATTTTAAATATTTTAAATGTTAATTATTGTAATATTTTAATATTTAATAAGAATTTATTGTGATTAGATGGACAAGACTTAATATATACTTATTATATCACAATATGACGCAACTTTATACCATCCTGTAACTTAATGTTATGTTTTGCGTATAGAACCGTGTCACTCCCATACTGAAATATCTTGTAACAGTACAGGGTCCTATCTGTAAATTTAAGAAGTTTGACATGGGATATTCAAGGATTATCCTCTTTTTTTTGAGAATATTTTTTATCAGTATTTATAATTATTTTTCTTTTGATAACAAATTTGCAACGTACACTAATTCGTAAGTACAATTTACAGGTAAATCGCACGTAATGTTAGGATTTTCATTGTTTATGGGAAACCGATTGCTGTTTTAACATTATAGTATTTCAAAAGCAGTGTGATGAAATTTTTTTAAAATGGAACTTGCATCACATTTATATAAGCCCATCTTGCATAGACCTGTCGCCAGCTAGTTGTGAAATTCAATCTGTCTCTTATGGGTGACCTGTGAATACGAAGTTGTTCAGGTCTTGAACTGTTCCTTCCTGATTCTTGTCTGTTTCACGACCGTCAAGAAACATTCAATAAACTGAAGAAGAATTTGAGCTTTGCAGTCATCGACAAACAAAAAATATGACGTAAATAATTTTCTTTTTTTCTCTGATTTTGTGCTGCGATGCATTTTGAAATTAATCATGCAGTCTCTTTGTGTCTTCTTAATTTTCCTTTGAGGTTCCTACTTTCACCCCCACCCCCCGCCGACTGACATAGGATTCAACAGTTTAATGTTTATTATCTCTGATACTGCAATTTTCATTTACACTTTCTTTGCATTTCTCGGGAGGTCTGGGGAAAGGCATTGTTTGGTTTACCTGAGACGTGCTGATTGCTAGCAATTGAAGGGAAATTATATAATAATCCTTTTTCTTTATTAAATATTCTATAGCTCATTACATTTAGTAGGGATAATGAAACAACCGCTTAAAATTAACTTGCAAATTCGTAGCTGTCGTGTATTTCCCTGGTTTCAGATAGAATCTTTTCTCCGTTACAATTTCTGCTTCTTATAGGTTGTAGGGGTACAGAGAAGACTGGCAACCTCAAATTTGATTGGCAGAAAAACTATGAAGAGACCAATAGTCACGTAGGCGAGTCTACATGCCAAGGTGTCTGGTGCTTATCCATTCTGTTACTCAAAATCTTCTCATTCTGAGCCAACTGATTGTCAACAGAAGTCAGCGCCACTGTTTTAGGAACATCGGCCATGTTGTGTTAGTTAGACGATCGCCAGCTGTGCTGCTCTGCGTTCTGTCAGACGCCATTTTAGTGTCAGGAGAACAGATGAAGGAGATTTCATTTAACTTTCAGGACGCAAGTTTCGTCATTAATTTGCGTAGAGATGAATCAAAAGCGAAATATCTGCACTTCATGAAGAATAAGTGGATTTTCTGTCATATTTACATTTCCTTTTCGAAGAAAAAAATTTGATAAGTTGAGGTTCTACGGCCAGCGTTACTGGTTCTAAGATTTTTTAATACGGAATCCCATAATTGCTCGAAGAAAATCAAGAAACATGAACCCCTCACGTTCTAAAAATAAATCGATTATTGTCATAAACCCAAAATATTTAAAACGGAATTAAATAACATGGAGAAGCCTGAAAAGAATTAAAATGTTGGGTTTAAAAAACAATCAAATTCTTGTTGCTTTCGAGATAAAAACGTAGAATAAATAATAATTTTAAATGTCTTAATATCTGCGTGTACATTTGAACTCGCACTTTTTTTTTAGAAGGAACATTTTGGTTGGCTGTATATTATCAGTTCCTTGCAGGTAATATTGGGACTTTAAGAAAATAATTATTTTCAGACACGTTACAAAACAACGAAGCAATAATATTTTAATGCAGCTAAATGATCCACGCAATGCGTGCTTTTGTTTTCAGATCGTCATAACATGACGGTAAAATTTATAAACTTCGCGTGGTCATATCCCCTTTAATTACCTAACATTTACTTTGTGCTTGTGAGCAGGACATCCCCCTAAATCGTGCCGTGAATTTCAGAAACAC